GTCAGATTATCTAGTACAAACTAGACCCATTCACTGTTCTTGGGCTACTCCATCTTTTGGTCATACCTTTTTATGCAAGAAACTCAAGCTAAGCTTCTGTAAATATAATTTATTATTTATTACTTGGAATAGCTGGTGAAATAAAGATTACAGATAGGGTCTTTCCTTCCTTTGGTACTTCTCTCACCTAAAACTCCCATTGATGATAATGAAAGTTATAGGGATGTTTTGTGTCTAGAATAGATGCTTTTGTTTGCTCTTTCTTTAGTTTTTGTTCTTTCATATCTTTCACCTTTTTGGAGGTAATATTTTGATGGTTTTCATATGAAACACTAAACTTTTCAGTGCTGAATGAAGTACCAAGTACTTGCTGAACTACTGCTGTATCATATGCATGTTTTGAAAACAATTAATTGTTCAACCACTGATTTATGTTTTTCTGTTTTGTGTTTTTAAATTAATCTATTATTTAATTTATTTAGACTCTCTGGTCAAAATGTTGACAGGGATGACCAAAATACATGGGTGACTAATATGTACACCTAAATAAAAGCAGTCTGATTGTTCACAGATGCTGAGCACTCTTGTTGGCTTCAGTGGGAGCTGTTAGTGTTCAGCACCTCTGAAAAGCAGGCCACTTTCATTTACATATAGGTGCCTAAATATGGATTTAGGTGTCTCGTACTAGAAACCACATTTAAACTTTTTGACTTATATTACCATAATAAACCTCATATTTAAACATGAGCATTGTATCTAAGCAAATAATTTATTGTAAACCAAGCACTTCTGTAGCTGTTGGCACATTTGCAATGTTTTTCTACTAAAAATGCACATTGAGTATTATATTTTTCCTTTTGGTAACCCAATAAATTTCCTATTTTCTTACAGGTGATCTCTTCTTAATAATGCATGTTTCTGTCTGGATGATACTGATGAGCAGTCACATTAATTTAATGCAGTACCATTCTCATATTGCATCTTCTGTATACTGTACAATATGTGATAAACCTTTCTGTAGAGCTGAAATGCTATCTCTCTTGCAAAGAATGCCATAATTTTTCATTCTTTGTAGCTGAGAAAGTCAAGACTGTTTTGCTTTTGCAGTCAAAACAAGAGTGTTTATCCACTAATTTATCTAATTTATCCACATGCACAATATTTATATAACCATCTGGCAGAGCAATATTTTAGCAATCAATGTAACAGATGAGAATACTAAAAGTTGATAGGGAGAGAGAGAATTTCTACATGACTTACCTTTGAAGATAAGTTGATTAGGTTTTGAAAAGCTTAATAGAAAATGTTTTAATGGGTTCAGTTTGCATTTGTCTTTTCCGTATACACTGTCTATGTTTTAAGAAAAATGTATTTAATGTTTTCTGTCCAAACTTTGCCAGTTTAATAGTATGAGATTATTCTGATGGGAGATGCAAGATTTAACTAGATATACTTATTAAGGACCAAACTCAGATGTGTTGTCCATGGTTGTTCTTGCACTGATTTCAATGGAGTTGCTTCTGTTTACCCCTGATTTTAAATTTGTTGTATGTCATTTTGCAACCATTGAAGGTGATTTTTTTCATATCAGAGAAGGTGCTGATAAAAAATTTGCACTGTACAATATCAATAATACACATATTAATAAAGATAAAGACCAGCTAACTGACAGATCTCAAAAAGTAGTTGGCAACTGGGAGTCATCAACGAGAGCTGTTTTGGGGAAGGGGGTTACACAGGGATTGGTACTAGGCCCAATGTTGTTCAACATTTTCATCAGTGATCTGGAAACAAATATAAAGTCATTGCTGATAACATTGGTGTTATCATGTCCCTAAACTCATAGATTGGCAGAATAGTAAATAACGATGACAACAAGTGATCTGGATTGCTTGGTAAGCTAGGCCCATGCAAATAAAATGCATTTTAATACTGCCAAGTGCAAAGTCACATATCTAGGAACAAAGCCATACCTACAGAATTGGGGATAGCATCCTGGCTCTGAAAGAGATTTAGAGGTCATAGTTGACAAGCAACTCAACATACTATCCTAGTGTGATGCTGTGGCCAAAAGTGCTAATGTGATTGTTGAATAAATGGGGGAGTAGTGATTAAGAGTAGGGAGATAATTTTACTGCTGTCTATATCATTGGCAAGACAAACGGGAATACTGTGTACGGTTGTGGTTTGCACATTTTAAAAAGGATGTTGAAAAATTGGAAAGGGTGCAGAAGAGAGACACAACAATGATTTGAGGTCTGGAGAAAACGCCTTACAGTGAGAGATGTAGAGTTCAATCTGTTTAGGTTATCAGAAACAATACTGAGAGGTGACTTGATTAGTGTACCTTTCTGGGGAGAAGATATTAAGTACTAAAGGTCTCTTTTATCTAGTAGAGAGAGGCATAAGAAGAACAGTCAGACAAATTCACATTAGAAATAAGGCATGCATTTTTAGCGGTTGGGTGATTACCCCTTGGAACAAATTACTGAGGAAAGTGTTAAATTCTCCATCTCTTGATGTCTCCAGATTAAGACTGGGTGCCTTTCTGGAAGATAAATTTTAGTCAAAAACAAGTTATGCTTTAGTGAAACACAAGGTGTTTGGCGCAATACAGGGGGTAACTGAATGAAATGTAAAGGCCTGTATTGTACAGGAGGTCAAACTAGACAGTCCTCATGTCCCTAAACTGTTTAAATCTATATAAAAAGTTTGCACTGTGAGTTTGTATACTGGTCCTTGAACAAAAAGATGGCTTCCCCTTCAAAGTTGTTGGTCATTAGGACCTTCACAGGTCGCAAATCAAATAGTCCCAAAAGACCCTTCTGAATCAGGCTACCTGTCATGGCTCTATTACACCACTTGTATCTCATTTCCTGAAACCATTAATCAAACAATTAAAAGGCTGAATTTATTTTATTCTCAGCTACTTCTTGCCTCATGAATTAGAAAGAAAATTGCCAAATATTTTTTAGATAAGCAGCTAAAACAGCTCATCTAAATGTCATACTATAACTTAATTTAGTTTTCATTAAAGATTCACTTTTCTTATAAAGAGAATCACATCCCTTATCTAAATGGAACTGATAGGATGACTTCTGTTTACTGGAAAGTTCTTTGTTGCTTGCTTTTTTCCTTTTAAAAAGTTGGCTCTCAAAGGTCTTTTTCACTATGGGTTGACAGTATCTCTCTTTTCTTAGTCCAGTGATGATTGTTCATGTGTTTCAAGTCATATATAACTCATCTATTCAAGCTTTGGAAAACTAAGTGATTCTAATGTAGTCATATAAGAGTTTTATGGTTCTTAATACTTGAATGTAGAAAACTGTGCCATGTCACAGAAATGTTTGGATGAACTTTTTAAATGGTTTAAGAAAAGGATAATTTTTCTCTGACACGGCAAATGTTAGGATATGTGAAGATCCTCCTCAGTTTTTTGTTAATGTAGTCCACAAACACTTTAAATGTTTTGCTGGTTAAAAGAAATTATAACCAGATTTTTTTTAATCCCAATGACTTCCATTCATGTTAATAAAGCAAACAGGCCTTGGCCCAATGTGTAAAAGTATTTACTATTACATGATCATATTATGCAATAATAGTTTATAAGGAGTCAATAATACACGATCAGTTCAGATCCCTCATTATTGCAGCTTATAGTAGTTTTTATCAACTTTGGAAACTGTATTATTTTTGTCTAGGGTGAAAATGATTTGAGGATTTTTGCTTCCTGAATAGTTTAACACAGCTAGGAAACCAGGTTCTTTAATCTGTATATCTATGTAAGACACATGAAAGATCTGGAGTAAAGTTTCCACGTGTGCCTAAGTCCCATTTTCAAAAGATTACTTAAGGAGTCTGTCTCATTGAGATCAATGGAAATTAGGCTCCTAAATTCTTATAATCGTTTCTAAAGATGGGACTTAGCCACCTGATTTGCTTAGGCAAAATGAGTCCTAGTTTATTTTTGTGAAATTACTTGATCGTCCGTTTACACCTCAGAGTTTCAATGACATATTCATTTTCTTGTTTGGGGGGAACATAACGGAACTTAAATTATCTTAAATGATCTTCAGTCAGTTTGTCCTCTACTCAGATTATTCATTCAATCATATTTGAAGTCCATCCTTGGAACAATAACATAAGTATTGGTAGACAAGCGTCCATGTAGGGTTTAAGTTTTCGTTTCATTCAGAAATATGAATTTCTGAAAAAAACATTTGTATCATTTAATCAAAGAGCTGTACAGCAGTTACAGTTCTGTATCTATTCATCACTAAACTGATCTCTTCCAATTTTTGCTTCAATGGAATGGGTTTGTTACTGATGAAATGAAGAATCTTTTTGCAGGGTGATTAAGATCATGTGAATGCTGTTTTAATTGCTTTAGGAGTGCAACCTTTACACTTTACTGATCTGTTAGTTAGTTTGTTTTTTACTTAGAAATTCAAACACAAACCACTTTTTTTAAAGCTTAATTAGCATGTCTGATCTTTTCCTTTCCACAGTCTTGGTAGGCCAAAAGTGTCACCTCGATGAAGGTCAAATTTCATCAGTCTCAAAAGTGGCAGTGTGGTTTGGTGGTGGTTAGAGCAGGGGCCTGGGATTCAGGAGATCTTTGGCCTGATCATCCTGTCATTTGTGCATGCATAATTCACCTTGACTTCAATGGGAGTCATGTACCCACACATGATGCAGTGACTGGGACACTGGATTCTATTCCTAACTTCCATTGACTCATCATGTGGCCATGGGCAAGTCAGGTAGCCTTTCTGTGCCACTACCTGTCAAATCAGGAAGATAATACTTACCATGCTTCTACAATACATACGACACTTGGAAAACGTCCTTCAGATCCTTGAATGAAAGGCCTGGTATAAATGCAAAGTGCTATGATTGGACATAGAGCAGAATTGTTATTTTCCATATTTAAATAGGGGATGATGGTGGCAGCAAACAGACCGAACCTGTGGCTGAGACTGTGGCTGTTTGTTTTGCAGGATCTTTCATGCTGGTGAACGCTTCTGGGAGGTTTGCTGAACAAAGAGCTCACCTCCTGCTACCCCACCTAAAAGAAAATGACACGCATTGTATCGATTTCCATTACTACGTTTCAAGCAAGAGTGGGTCCAATCCTGGTTCTCTGAATGTTTATGTGAAGGTCAATAATGGTCCGCTTGGTAATCCCATCTGGAACATGTCCGGAGCAGCTACTGGCACTTGGAACAGAGCAGAGCTGGCAATTAGCACCTTTTGGCCTAATTTCTATCAGGTACATTTTATTTGTTAAATTTTGTTTCTCACGTTGAACAGATTTGCAGCCTAAATTTACAACTTGCTTTTTGTCATCAGCAAGACTGAGTGCAGGCTAAGATGACCTGATTAGTGAGTAAAAACGAATGTATGTTATGTTGGTCAGTTTGTTTTAATTAATCTGTTTTGTGGTTGATGCTAAATATATATTTGCATATTTCAATGTTTAAGAATGGATGATTTGTCATTGTTTTCAATGGCCCAGGATTTCACCCATTACCTGTACATCAGGAACATTAGAATTTAGTAACGGAAGATTTTACAGTGTTAGGCTTGTTTGATTTGCTTTATATTGATAACGCTCAATTGTGGCTCTAGAACCAGATGCGTCTGAGTTCACAGGCCTGAATTGCAATTTCAGTTTGTAATTTTAGTTTTTGAGAACACTTGATTACAGCAGCATTCTTCTGATTAGAGCCTAAGGGTGAAGTAGTAGGAGCTTAACATTGCCGTTTCTTAAGATGCTACCCCTCTGTAGGAAAGTTTACCATGATTCCACAATCACACACATGTACACCATACACCCCACACCCCAAAAGGATGTCGGGGGAAGGGGATTTTGACAAACTTCTAATAAAATATTCCTGTACCATTAGGATGAGGCTAAAATGCCATGTTGATAGAGATACAGGCAATATCAGAAGACATTCATGTGCTCTCTCTATCTATATAATCTGCATCAAATTTCAGCTAATATATTTTAGCTAATTGAAGTCTGAGGAATCAAGATACTTCCAAATAGCCTTTCCCACTCCTCTGGGACCAGTTTAACAGAAGCCTGTAGCTCAGTCTCCCTAGATAACTGCAATCTGGCTTTTCAGGCTTGGTCACAGCCTATGGGGAAGATTCTCAGCTTTTGTAATTTGATGTAGCTCCAATGACTTGAATAGAGTTACTCTGATTTCACCAGCTGAGGATCTATCTCTCTGTCCCCAGCTGCTGCGCCATCTCCTGCCTCTTTGGTTGCATCCGCTTCCTCAAGGATCTCTGACACAATCTCCTCAGTTTCCCCATCACAATTACAGTCTCCACAGCTGTTTCTGTACTTATCACTGCCTACCTTGGTCCCACTGCTCTTAAAGCTTCCCCTCTAATGAAACTCCTTAACCTTCGTCTTTTGTCACAAAATCCCTGGGAATTGAGTCTTTCACATCCTATCCAGAACTTGAGTGTCTTTCCCAGGGACCACTTATTACTTACTTAGCACTTATTACTCCTCACAAGGCGTCAGCCATCTTCTCTCTGCCCCACTTCCTAGAAAGAATAGGGACAGGAAAAACCTCCATAGCAGAATGTGCAGTGGTCTTGCAACAATAGTGATGGAAGCCCATTATTTGGCATATATAAAAGATGATGGGACAATCTACAAATAAATAAGAACTGCAGGAAAACATCCTGCATTGATAGGGATGGACTAGGTAATGTAACAATAGTTTAGTTTTTTTGTTTTTATAATTGTAGCAATACCCAGCTACATGACAGTGCTATACACTTCCAGTCCATTAATAGGACACCCACAGGGTACCTACCAACAAATAAAATCAAAATGAAGACAGAAATATGAACACAGGCTACATGTTTTAACATGCTAGTGTTTTAAAGGAATGGTATTTGTACAATGCAGATCTCTTAAAAACATTTTTGAGTCTATTTTCCTGATGATCCATGAAAAATGTAGGCAAGTAACTCCCACTAATGCTAACTGAATAAAAGCAAGACTGATTATTGTGGAGTAAATCCAATTCTAGTCCAACATTTTAGTATTTATTTGGTATTTAAAGTGGTTTTATCTTGCATATTATTAACATAAACAGAGGCAGAGCATTTAAAAGATTTAATAATTAACATTTTGTTATATTGTATTCCTATAGTTATTTGTGTTATTGGTACCGTTTATGTCAGGTTTCCATTTAGAAATGACTTTTTACTGTGCTCAGAGTCTGTACTTGTAATCATTTTAATACATTTTCTTTGTACCAGGTAATTATTTGTGTAGGTTTCACCCTACATGGCAAACTACTGTACTAGATATATAAATGGTTTCAGAGAAGCAGCCATGTTAGTCTGTATTCGCAAAAAGAAAAGGAGTACTTGTGGCACCTTAGAGACTAACCAATTTATTTGAGCATAAGCTTTCGTGAGCTACAGCTCACTTCATCGGATGCATCGTGCTGTAGCTCACGAAAGCTTATGCTCAAATAAACTGGTTAGTCTCTAAGGTGTCACAAGTACTCCTTTTCTTTTTTTAGATATATAAATAACATTGATAACCTGCATCTGCCAAAACTAATTGTAGGTTAATTACTTGTCATTTAAACTTAAATTGTCAAGTATTCTGATTATTAAGATATATTTAATTCCTCAATTAATTCTTGTTCTAATTGCTGCTACTTAAAACCTGCCCCTCCCTTAGAGCTGCACCAGTCAGGAAGTATTGGTTACGTGTTTTCAGCAGAGGGCAACAGAATAAAAGATCTGGTTTCTTTAAGTATATATGACCTGCTTGCTACCTCTTTAATAGGAGAAAAATCTGTTATTTCATAGGGTTATTTTATGTTGTCAGATCAGTGTGGAGTATTAAAATGTGCTTTAATTTTTTAAGCATAAGGAATTGTACAGCTCCACAGATTGTGAGATACAATGCCCCTCCCCCTCCGCTGAGTTCAGGTTGGTGAGTTTCTCAGCTAACATTGCAAATTGGCAGTTAGACATAACTGCTAAGGCCTTGTCTACTCTATGGAATTTTGTCAATCCAAGTTACCCTGACAATCAAAAACTGGTATAATTACATCATTTGTTCATTGTATAGCGGCTAGCCGAGGCTCGACCCTCTCCGGGGCGGCGGGGAGCCACACCAGCTCACAACACACAGATAATGTTTGGGGAAATTAGTCCAGCCGCGGGTGTCTCCCTTGGCGGCCCTTGCAGCAACTGAAACAAGCACCGTAAGCCCGGACCCTAGGTCAAGGCAGGGCAACAATAAGTCAGGTGCTCAGGCCCTCCGGCAGGGGCTGAGCAGTAGCAAACAGTATGTAGAAATAGGCCCAGGCCCTGGGTCAGGACGGGACAACCAAGTCAGTAGCTCTGGCCCTCAGGTAGAGGCTGAGCAAACAGTTCAATAGTAGCAGGCCCAGGCTCTGGATCAGGGCGTGGCAACCAAGTCAGTAGCTCAGGCCCTCAGGCAGGGGCTGAGCAAACAGTTCTCTAAAGGACCTGGAAGAAGGGGAGACTGCCACCCAAGGGTTGGGTGGCAGGGGGGACTCAGGCCCTCCCACTCTACTGCATCCCAGCCCGGGGCCCTAGCAGCAGCAGAAGACCCACTGCTGTGTCAGTGGGGCTCCTGGCCGCAACACACTGTCATAGGTTCTGGCAGTTCCTTAGCCAGACTATGGTCAGCTGTCCCCGGGCTACTTCCTGATTCCTCCTCTTGGGGTACCTGGGTCCAGATGGTATCCTCCAGGGCATCCAGCACCAGGGGTTCCTCAGGGTAATGGGCAAGTGGCAGGCCCGGCAACTCCTCCGGGTAGCGGGCGCAGAGCAAGTCGGGCCAGTCCTGGCGTGCACCTTGGGCCGCGGGGGCTTCCCAGTCGTGGGCCAGGCTGGAGGCATCTGGCCTCCCCAGCGGCTGGGCCCCCAGTGAGCTCTGAGGGTGAGCTTTTATACTTCAGGTCGCTGCCTTACCCTCTGACGGCCGGGCTCAGAGCTCCCTAGCTCTGCCCACTCCGGCAGCTGGATGGGCTCATCCCTCTCCAGGGTAGTGGGGAGCCACACCGCCTCACTGCACGCATTTTTACACAACGTTCCTTCTATTGGTAGAGCACATCCATAGTTAGTGCTCTAGCGTCAACAGTGAGAACCGTGCACTGTGGGTAGCTATCCTACTGTGCTGCTTGCCACCTTCTGCAGCTAGGAATTGTGGGAAGGGAGAGTGGATAACAGTGCATCATGGGTGTGGGCTCAAAGTCCAATGATGCAGGTTTTTTGGTCCCATCATTCCATTGACTGCGTTTCATGGCATTTTTCAATGGCCTCTGTTTGCTGTGCACCCGCCATCTCTTTCTGAAAAGATGGATCCTGCACTGCTCTCTGCTGTTGTGGTCACTGTTATGAACACATTTCAGCTGGTCATACAGTATGTCACGAGCTCCAAATGTGAACAGGAATCAGAGACGCCTGACCTTCTGTGTGCCATGGAAAGAAACAACACCAGATTACTTTTGGCATTCACAGAGTAGTTGCACACTGTGGACCGTCATTTCTGGGCTTGTGAAATAAGCACTGAGTGGTGAGATCGCATCATTATGCAGGTCTGGGTTGACAAACGGTGGCTGCAGAACTTTTGGATGCGGAAAGCCACCTTCCTGGAACTGCGTGCGGTGCTTGCCCCAGCACTGAGGTGCATGGACACCAAAATGAGAGCTGCCCGCTTGGTGGAGAAGTGCGTGGTGATCACTGTGTGGAAGCTGGGGACTCCAGACTGCTACCAGTCAGTGGCAAATTAGTTTGGAGTTGGGAAGTCCACCATTGGGACTGTGTTAACACAAGTGTGCAGAGCTACAAAGGACTGTGACTCACAATGTGTGTGAAATAGTGGATGGGTTTGCACAATATGTGCAACTGTAGCAGGACGATAGATTACACGCATATCTCAGTTTTGGCCCCAGACCATCTGGCGACTGAGTACATCAATAAAAAGGGGTACTTCTCTATGATATTGGACGGTTTGTGGATCACTGAGGGCGTTACACTGACATTAATGTGGGGTGGTCTGAGAAGGTGCATGACGCATGCATCTTTAGGAACACTGGCCTGTACAGAAAACTGCAAGCAGGGACTTTCTTTCCAAACCAGAAGATTCCAATAGGGGATGTTGAAATGCCAATAGTGATCCTGGGAGACTCAGCATACCCCTTACTTCCATGGCTCATGAAGCCTTACATGGGAAACCTGGACAGCTGC